CACATACATGGCTGCTTTTGAGTGTCTTAATTTCCTAGAGTCTTGGCCAAAGTTTTCCTTAGAACTTAGAGGGTCTATTGTATGCTTCCACCCATAATCTCTTATCCCAGGTATCTATAAATCTGTAGTTTTCCTGCAGCCTTCACAAGTAGTGGCATTCACCTCCTCAAGATCCAGACTATGCTACACTGGGGAAGGGGTGGGACAAAGATGAGTGAAAATGTCATGCAATTTTCTACCATTTTTTTTTTTTTGAGTTGGAGTCTCACACTGTCGCCCAGACTGGAGTGCAGTGGCTGCTTCCGGCCACCGCAGCCTCGACCTGCTGGGCTCCGGAGATCCTTCCGCCTCAGCCTTCCGAGTAGCCAGAATTACAGGCATGCGCTACCATGCCCGGCTGATTTTTTGATTTATTGTAGAGATGAGGTCTCGCTGCCCAGGCGGGTCTCGAACCCGCGGGCTCAGGCAATCCACTCACCTCAGCCTCCCAAAGGCGCGGGATTACAGGCTGAGCCACCGAGCCCGGCTTTTCTTACCATTTTGAAGGTAGCTTTTTCTTTATTGGGTGTTTGTGTGGTTGCTGTAGATATTGGACTATTTCCCAGAGCTTCTAGGTTAGTTCAGTCAATTTCTAGGTTTTTTTTTAATGTTTCCATAGGGGAACAAGGACTTGGAACCTCCGTTTTTACCAATGTCCCTTGACCAAACTGCCATTTTACCAATGTCCCTCGACCACAACTAGGGATTCTTGAAGGAGTAACATGACCCGGGCAGCACTATTTCCACCACTCTCATCTGTACCTAAACCTATTTCGGGTTTGAATTCAGTGCCTACTGCCTCACTGAAACTGCCCTTCACAGAGTCACCAGTGACTGTCTGACAGTCAAGTTCTTCTGGGTACCATAAGTTCAAATGTGCACTGCAAGTACAAAATAAAACCAATGCTTATTTTATAACTTGTTTGTTCTTTTGGATGCATTTTGATACCACTGACCTTCCTTCTTTCTGGAAAAAACTCCTCTGTTTGTCCTTGTGAAAGTGCTTTTTCCTACTCATGAGGTTATCTTTTCCCCTCTTCTTTCCACAGTTTAGTTAATATTTCCCAGGGTTCTGTACTGTGACTTTATCTTCCTCACATTTTTCCTTCCCTCAGGTAAGACCAGCTATGACTCCTATTCACCATGTGTATACTGATGACTTTCAAATTGATAGTGTTTAGCCCAGCTCTTTTGCAAGACTCAGACCTATACATCCAACTGCTTAATGAACACCTCTATAGACACTTCACAGATACCTTATACCAAACAAGTCCAAAGCAATTCCCTATTGTACCAATCTACCCTCTTTTATTTTTAAATTTTTGAGTTGGAGTCTCACTCCATCACCCAGGCTAGAGTGCAGTGGCACACTCATGGCCACCCCAGTGTCAATCTGCTGGGCTCAGGCAGTCCTTCTGCTTTAGCCTTCCAAGGAGCCAGAACTACAGGCGTGTGCTACTGCGCCCAGCTGATTTTTGATTTACTGTAGAGACGAGGTCTTGCCAAGTTGCCCAGGCTGGTCTTAAACCGGTGGGCTCAGGCAATCCACTCACCTTGGCCTCCCAAAGTGCTGGGATTACAGGCTGAGCCACTGAGCCCGGCTCCACCCTCTCTCTTTTCTTTTTTTCACTGTATTCTTATCTAGTTGTTCATTTCAGAACCTCCAGCCAGATTTGGTTTCCTCTGATAGTCAGTGGATCATGGAAGCCATGTGCATCACACTTGCAGAGAGGAAATGGACTCTTCTCCATTTCCACTGCCCAATACCTTTATTCTGATCACGATAATTACTTAATGTAGATGTGGTTTGTCTTTCTCCAGTCTTTTCATTTTCCAGTTTGATCACTATACTGCTGACAGAATAATCTTTTAAACGTCCAGCTTTGATCATGCTGTTCCCGCTTAACAATCTTTCTAGCCACATTTATAATGAAATCCAAATTCCTTATGTAGCATACACGACCCTTTATGATCTGGCACCTGCTTTCTAGCCACTTTTCTATTTCTACCCTGTCACCTAATTCTCCTGCAAACATTCCAGAGCCACTTTTCCCTTCATTCCTTCACACATGCTTGTATGGGACACTTTTCCCACCCAAGACAGGTGTCCCATAAATGTATATGGGACTCAAAGAAGAAAGTCGAATTCTTACCTGAAACCCAGTTGTTGGAGCTAAGAAGGTGGCCTTAGTTTTACTTGGGCTAAAAAAGTATGGTTTTGATAGACTTCAAAGAGATAGGCAGATGAAAAAACATATTTGCGTAACACTATTTCAAAAGGGTTTTTTTTTGGTTGTTGTTAGAAGCCATCACTATTTTCACTCTCACAGGAGTGGAGTATGGAAGTCTGGGGGGAATCTACAGCTTGAAGCACATTTCAACAATATCATCCACAGAAGAACATCAGCAAGACTATGGGAAGAAGCATTTTCCTGTAATTTGTAATGCTGCAAGCCCTACTATTCTTTTTCCTCCCTTCCTTTCTTCCTTCCCCTCCTCTCCCTCTCTCCCTCCCTTCCTCCCTTTCTTTCTGTTGGAGTCTCACTCTGTTGCCCAGGCTGGAGTACAGTGACACACTCATGACTACGGCAGCCTCGGCCTGCTGGGCTTAGGTGATCCTTCAGCCTTCCAAGGAGCTGGAACTACAGGCATGTGCCACCAGGCCCAGCTAATTTTTTGATTTATTGTAGAGATGAGGTCTCACCAAGTTGTCCAGGTTAGTCTCAAGCCCCTGGGCTCAATCCTCTCACCTCCATCTCCCAAAGTGCTGAGATTACAGGTGTGAGCTACCGCACCTGGCCCTGCTGCTCTTTCAAGTGTGGTTCTTGGGTCAGTAACATTGGCATTACCAGGGAGCTTTTAGACATTCAGCATCTTAAGCTTTATCCCAGCCCCCCATATCAGACTTGGCATCTTTAAGAAGATCCCAGGTGATTCACATTAAAGCTTGAACTATACTGGCCTGGAGGGTGTTAGACTCAAGGAGGGGTGGGAATATTTCGAGGGGAAGGAATGGAGAAAGACAAATGTATATTTTTCTCTGTTAGGAAAAATAATCACTAAGAATTATCAAATGTGTTCTGTATGTCTTCTTGGGTGACCTTGATGACACATTGAAGAAACATCTCCCATATGTAACCAGATCTGTTTGCTATCGTAATTTCACAAAGTGCCAATAAGGCTTGAGGGCCTGAAGAGCTATCAGAAGAGGACTTTTCCAGGTAAGAGAAAGATGATATTCCCCCAGGCAAGGGAGCAAGGGGAGCTCATGCCTCTTTGATTATGAAACACATATGTTTTGTCATTGGAAATGAGGAGAGGGGTTCGTAGAGGGTCCAGAAAGGATCATGTAGCCAGGCATGTTGACTGGCCAGCATTGAGCATTAGCCCCAGACTTGCCTGGGACACAAATGGCTTATGAGTTGCAAGTGAACTCTGTGGCCAATAACATTTGATCTTCATTAGAGATGGCCACAGTATGTTCACTTAATAGAAAGCTGCAAGTAATTGTTTCCCAAAGAACATGCCTAAGGGAACGAACTAGTCAGGTGTAGATGGCCAATTTCAACAAGTTTACAGTTGCTAAGGGCCCCAAAACATTTAGTCACATTGGTTCATATGGTTCCATAAAGAATTTAAAGCCTGTTGTGGGGTGTCCCAGCTGGCCAAGCTTAATGGTATGGTTCAGATGCCAGCCAACCAAAAACTATGTCTGATCAATCAGAATGTTCATTCTACCAATTAGCACCAGCCGCTGACAAACTAGTACCAGCTGGTGAGTACCACCCGAATGTCAGCCCTAGCAGGCAGTTCCTACATGCTTGGTAAGTCTCCAGTAGGTTTCAAACATTGACTTCTGGAGTAACAGAATATAAAAATGATATCATTTCCCCCAAGCACCTTCACACCTGATTCTTTTTGGTGCCAACAACGTTCTAAAATGGTGCAGTGATCAGATGAGTAGGACAACTATTCTTTCTCTAATAGACTTTACCTGGACTGGAGACAACCTAGACCTAATGACAACTGGCATTCTGACTGGATCTCAGCTCTACCTGGACATGAATGAGAAAACAGCGAGGTCACTCTCAGCATCGCCCCCCAACAGACCTAGGTTGCTCTTGTCATGGCATTGCTCAGGTTGGCTCTTCCCCATAGAGAATCTTCAGTTTGTGTTGATTTCCCTTTCAACTAAACATAAAATTTCCTCCTCAAGTGGAGAGGTCCATCATGGTTCTTCCACTATATCCAGAGGAGGCCCTGTCCTTAGGAACCTGGGTCAGATGAACCCATGTCTGCTGTCTGTTGAGCTTCCCTGGGATTTGTGTGTTAACCTCTAGGCAGAGAATTGAGAAAAGAGTTGGTGACTTCAAAGTGGTCCAGCTAAGCTTCGACTTCTCCTGGCTTGGAACAGTAGTTCTTTACCCTGGCTGCGTATCAGAAGTACCCAGGGAGTTTCTTAAAATTACTTGGATCCCACCCCAGGGCAGTTGACTCGGAATCTCTAGGAGGTACAGCCTTGACATTGATCTTTTGAAAAAGTCAACTCAGGGCTTGGAATTATGCAGCCCAGTTAAGAGCCCTGGGCCTACAACTCTGGCAGCCCCCAGATACATCTCCTCAGAACTTTAAATCATCAGGCCAGCACAGCCAGCGAGAAGAGGAGGCTCGGTGGAATGCGATCTGAAAGAGGGGCTAGAGGGCCGGATGATGGTCTGAGAAACAGAAGTCCTCAGGGTGGAGGCAAATTAAGAGGAAAAGAGTGGTGGCTTGGGCGCTGTGAGAGTAGTGGAGACGAATTTCAGAAACTGCTTTAGGGCCGAGACTGGGTAGGTTAGTGACAGAATATGGAAGGTCAGTTATCACAGAGGAAGTGGCAACGGTGTCATTTTACTTCCTACTCTGTCAGGGTCCACCCCTTTAGATTTAGCTTCCAAATAAAAACCTCTCTGGTGCCTCACCTGGCCCCAGCTGGAGAAGGCCCACTCCACACACAGCTGCTGGTTACAGGCCTGGGTGTCCACAGGCCGCTTGGCAAGCTGGGTGCACATGTCATTGGACACAGGGGTAGAGATACCAGAGGCTTTCAGCTTTTGACAGGTCACCCGGCGGGTCTGGACGCCTCCCCCGCAGCTCCGAGTACAGGCAGACCAAGAGGTCACCATCCACCTGGGGAGAGGAAGAAGTGTCAGAGGAGCCCCATGTCACGCCTTGGGAGAAAGAGCCCCACACAGCCCTGCTGTCACCATATAGCTGCTAATTTGGAGGTCAAGATCCTTTTCACCGTATTGACTTGAAATGGTAGGCTGAAAAAATGGCCCCCCAAAAGACATCCATGTCAAATCCCTGGAGCCTGTGAATGTTGAATGCTGTCTTATTCGGAAAAGATTCTAATTAAGGATTTTCAGATAAGATTATCTTGGATTATCTGGGTAGACCCTAAGTGTTTTTTTTTTTTTGAATCGAAGTCTTGCTCTGTCACCCAGGCTGGAGTAAGTGGAACCATTATCACAGCTCACTGCAGCCTCAATCTCCCAGGCTTCCTGAGTAGCTGGGACTGCAGGTGAGTGCCACCGTGCCTGACTGATTTTTTATTTTTTTGGAGAGATGAGGTCTCTCTATGATGCCTGTGGTGGGCTCAAGCAATCCTCCCACCTTGACTTCCCAAAGTGCTGGGATTATAGGCGTGGGCCATCACTCCCGGTCCCTAAATGTTCTTATAAGAAAAAGGCAGAGGGAGACTATGCAGAGAGAAGAGAAGGAGAAAGTGTAACCATGGAGCCGTGTGGCTACAATCCAAGGAACACCTGGGGCTACCAGAAGCTGAACGGGGCGAGGAACGGATTCTCTCCTAGAATCCTTGGCGGTGGTGTGGCCCGCTTGACACCATGATTTTGGACTTCTGGCCTCCAAGATGGTGAGACAATACATTTCTGTTGTTTTAAACTACTAAGACACTTGAGAACTGTCAGTGGCCTTAGCTGCTCCAGTGGCCACGTGATTGCAGAGGGTTACGTTGGACTGCAGTACCGGTACTTCCTAAAGGCATCCAAGCATGTGACAGAGAAGGGACCATTTCCCAGGGATGTCAGATCCAACCCTGACTGAGAAGGTAATCTGGGTCTCACTTAAGTCAAGGTTTTGTCTGGTGGCACTCAGTGTACTTCCTACCTTAACTTAACCCGTGCCTTGTTTCCTTTGGCTTTTTTTCCCTCAGAAACATACAAAGTTCCTTCAAACTTTCTGAAGAAATTTCCCGTCTCTCTGAGTCATAGTCTGTAGGTCCTATACTTCTTATGAGGCCGCCTATAGGGAGGTAATACTTGTTCTCAGAATGTGAGGTTCAAGCTGCAATTCCCCAGAAGTGAGACTGACCGAGACTGTGACAAATGGGCTTTTTTCCATCAAGCCAAGCTGTGATCTGGGAGGACTCTGAATTCCTTGGTCCGTATACAGACACGCAAGGCTTCTCTTTGCAATGTGCACCCCCTGGGATGACCCCTCTCCCAGAGGAGGGAAAGGGGACAGTTTGATAAAAACAGCAAAAAAAACCAAAAAAACAAAAAAAACTTGCTGCTTTTTAGCCATTTCATGCAACCTAGGGGGAAAAAAAAACCCAAAAAACTCTTTGGTGTTATTGATGGAGAAAAATAGTTACCTAGCATAAAACGGTTGAAACAGCTCCCTGGGTCAAAGCAGGATGTCCCAGTTCTGCTCAGAATGGTGACCATGGCAGCACTTGTTTGCATTCAAAGAAGGATGCTGAAATGTCTAAAAAGTCTGGCAGGGAAACTGGTCAAAGGTGAACCTATGGCTACTTCCCAGCCAAGTGGCGCCGCACCTGGCTTTCGGGAGAGGCCTGTTGCCAGGAAGGGGGAGCAGATTCCTCCTAAAAATCTGGATCTGCAACTTATTTAGTTCCATGGCAACTTCCCTGCTCTTTTGCCCTGGAGAGGGATGACTGCGTGCAGATTTCCAACCCACAGGAGCAGAGCCACTTAGGAAGCAGGCATGAGGTGTTTTAAAACTCCTGGGGCACCGAAACCCAAGAAAACACAGCCATTATGATTTCATTTGCAGAAATAAATTGAGTTGATTGACTCTGACCATCACCAAATCAAATCAAAAGTTCCTGGCCCAGCAAAGATCGCTTCTTCATTTCGCACAGCTTGGCAAGGGCAGTCTTCCAGCCTCCTATCCCTGGTGAATGTCAGGCCTGCATTTCCATCCATTTTTATTTCCAAATATACGTTTCAGCAATTTTTCAGGAGCTGGGGTGGGGGCGCGGCTGAGAGAGGAGAGGTACGGGCTATGTTACAGTTCAGGAAGGGTATAAAAGGACATTAATCATTCCCGTGGAAACCTTCCCGTCAGCAAGTCAAACTGCTGATATTAATGAGTGTGTTTCATATTTCATTGAGTCTCTTCTGGTTTCAGCTGCTCCTTATGACTCAGCTGGCAAAATACAAAGCAGTTGCCTAAGCAGTGTGTGAAAGTCCTAAGGATAGGTAGTCAAGGGGTACTTCAGGGCCCAGCCAAGTCCCCCCGAGGCTCCGAGCACCACACTGGTGCCAACTCCAAGCCCATCCATTATCCCTTTAGCTACTGCCAGAGACACAGTGTGACTCATAGCTTCTCGAAATAGGACAAAAATGTCACAATCAGAGACTCTGTTGAGGAAAGATGTCACAGGCAGAGACTCTGGGTGCCGTTCTGGGCTACAGAAGGAACCAAATGCAGAACACGAGGCAGCTCTAGGAAATGAGATTTGTTCCAGCTTCAGTGAGATGTAACCCTTTGTGGAAAAGAAGAGGAGATAAGATATAATACTGAGTGACCTCTCACAGATACAAAGATCCGAGTATCACATGTTCTCACTCATACAATGGACCTTGAACATCCAATGTCATACTATAAGAAAATGACTGACGGTACTGGGAAACTATGGGGGGGAGGCAGATGGGATTAACAGTAGCAAATATCTGTCTGGGGATGGGGAAACACCTCTTATCAACAGGGTGCCTGAATGAAACATAATTGTACACCTAACCCTTAACTGTACCCCACAAAACCATAATAAAAAATATTGATTAAGAAAAAAAAAAAAAAGATTTCCTCTGCTTAGCTGGGGTACTGATTAGCTCAGGTATTTAAAGTTAGACAAGAAGGGGAGGGGTTGGGGTCGAGCAGGTAATCCCGGCTTCCTCAGCTCTTCAATTGAAAACACATTGCTTTTTTACAAAAAGTCTAGAAAGTCAGTTGATTATTGCAGGAGGGGAGCCATCTCTTACCAGGGCCTGGGATGTTCTTGCTCCCTGAACAGGCCCCTCTAGGCACTTGGGGAGTCCAATGAGCCGTTCACTGACTGAGGGTGAGGGGATAAACGGAGGCAGGAGAGGAGGCTTATTTAGAGGCTATTTTCAACATGGTGGCCAGGCCTGACCAACCTGTGCCTTCAGGAAAGAACAGCTCCGTGGCTTGTGTGTCTCCCCGCCCATCAATACACAGGGGCTGACTGTCAACGTGGCTGTAAGTGATGGCCCATCCATCGGGCGGGGAGGGCTGAGCCAGCATCTGCCATACTCACCGGGAAGGGCAGTCTCTCCGGTTGCAGGCGATGGGCTGGACGGCAGGGCGAGCCTTCCCTGCGCAGTGGGCGGGGCTGACCTCCGTGCTGTTTAGCAGACACCTCAGGCGGGGCTGCTGGACCCCCCGGTTGCCACAGGAGGCCGAGCAGGTGGCCAGTCTGTCCACAGACCACCAGTAATCTGTCATGGGAGGGGGGATCGGGGTTAAAAGAAGATAGCATTATTGCTCACACTCTGCATTCCTTCTGCACAGGGTAGCAGGGAGTGTCGAAGGCAGGCGGGAGGCGGGTGTGTGAGCTGAGGGAGAGGAACTGCTATGAATGAGGCCCTGCCCCCTGACGGGCACCATTCCCAACCTATTTGGGCAAGTCATGTGGTCCCTAGGAGCCCCAGTTGGCTCGGTCATAAAAGGGGTACAGTGACCCTCACCTCATCAGTTATTGTAAGGAAAGTAAAGTGCCTAGCTCAGTGCCTGGCACAAAGACAGTACTCAATCAACGCCCCCAGTCTTACTGTTTTAAAACATACTTGCTGAAGGACTTTTTTCCTTATTGGTTCACCAGAAAGTGACTTTATTTTTCTACAAAGAGATATAAGTATTTCAGAGATACTTAACAATCATATTTAAAAGTGCAGATTTGAGTTGGATTTTGTAGATGTTACCCAAAGGAAAAAAAAAAAGGAAGAAAAGAAAAAAGGAAAAAAAAACCCATCAGTCTATCTAGAGAGTTCTCATTTACATGAGACAATGACGTCAGTAAGAAAGCCAGTTTCTTCGGTCTTTTCTCTTTGGGAGTCTGGGACTCACTAGTAGAAAAGCTGTTAAAAATAAATATGAGCTGGTAAATTTTGAGTGCTTATTTGCAAAGCTGTATATCACAAGTCTTGCAGATAGGCGCTGGTTTCTGGTTTTTGGCCGAGAAGAGCCAGCTGGCAAGAAAATGGAATGGCTGTTTTCTTGTCTGGAAAGCCAAACGATGGGGGAGGATATTTAAGGGGAAAACTTATGTGCCATATTGGCACAAAACTGTCCCTTCCCATCGAAGCCTCCATTTTGGAATACGTGCCATGGAACTTTGCTTTCCTTAAAAGTATCATACATAGACTTCTGGTAGAACTAGCCTGTGGAAAACCCAAAAGCTGCCCATAGTTTCTATAAAAAGGCCAGTTTTCACCGTTTTCCCTCTGTTTGGGGTTCATTCACAACTCTTTCTAGGTGCAGTGAAAGCCAGGCTCCGCCCACAGGCTTTCTGACCCGCCTGTTTTCCTGGAAGGCGAATGCACAAGCCATGTGGGCTTCTCGGTCCATTCTTTGCCAGGATCAAAGGAAATGGCCTGGAGAACCCTCAGTGTGTGACTGCAGCTGACCACTCTTCAGAATGACCGGCCGGCATGGGCACCAGCCCCATCTCTCTTGCCAGGGCGCAGTAGCCAAACTGTTTAGATCAAGAGGTATCTTTTTTTTAACCAAATGAACAGAGGAAACTTGCATTTTTAAAACAGGCTAATCTGTGTGTCCGTGTGTATGTGTGAGCTCTACTACTTAAACCAGCACAAAGGAAGCACATCTGACTTTGCTATACAGCGGTGGCTCCTTTGTGAGAAGAGCCCATTTATGAAGGCAGCACTGACTTTTCCAGGGTCTGCTGGGACAGGATCTGATGCCTCTTTCTGAAAAGGCCACAGTGGCAGAAGTTGGATCTCGCTGTATATAAACATGGTGCAACTTTGGTTTTCATGCCACGAGCACCACTGGAGATCAGAAATCACTTCGTTCTTCTAGAGGAGTCAATTCCACGTGGTCTTCCTTGGACCCAAAATGAGCCCAGCACCCAACGCCTGAGGGATGTCTTACCTTGGATCACTACGGTTGCCTTCTGCATGAGCATCCCTGCCTCATTCTGAGCAAGGCAGCTGAATTCCCCTTGAGACCCACCACTGAGGTTTGCAACATGAAGAATCTGCCCAGCTGCCAAGATGTGATGCGTCAGTCCTGTGACGGAGGCAACTGGCTGGCCGCCATGAAACCAGGTGATGTTGGGGACAGGGTGGCCTTTAATGGGGCAGCCTAGAAGGAGAGGAGAAGAGAAGCCATTGGTAAAGCCAAAGACAAAACATTCCTGGAGAATTGCTTTAGTGTCTCCATGGCTCTAGAAACTGGATTTACAGTGTGGCCTTATCTATGGCATTTTTATTACATTTGTCATTTCCAAGCAAATAGAAGATACTTTTATTCTCTGGGCTTCTGGGAGGGCGACTGTTATTCGCTTGATTAAGTAAAAATTCTGGGAGGACACAAAATGCCTATTTCTGTTTATGTTCCTATGCTTTTAAAAAATAATGCAATAATATTCATTCATAGAATATTTGTTTCAAGTTAAAAATCACACTTTAATTGGTAAAAGTATAAGGTCTGCCCCCCATTTTACTCTCTATGTGATTTTCAAGTGAAATTTTTTCAACAGAGACTAGGAAAATAACTTTAAATGCCGATCTTATTTCTCCATATCTTAAGACCCTTTGTCTTCTGACAGTCCTTGCCAAGCCTACATCAGACATGTGCTATATTTATCTACATAGTCATTGAATATATTTTGACACAATAAAATTCCAAAATAGTAAACTGAGATATCGCATCTACCTGACTTTATGGCATAGAATTGGTAAGATCAACGGATTGCAGTTGTGAGAGAAAGCACATTTATTCTAAATTCAGAATACTTTCTGAATTTTCTGTTGTACCCCAACTTACCTTCCATAGAAAATTCACTTGGAAGCTTAAGATACAATAAATCATTAAAAAAATAAAGGTACTTGAGGTTTTCTCTCAATTCAGTTAGAAAAATATCTGTTTGGTACCTACTACTCTGGGGACAACTAAGATAGTTAAGACTATCTTCCATCTTTGGAAATCCCAGTTGGTATGAAACATTTTAAAAGCTAATAAAAGTGGGATGTAAGGCCCAAAATGATGAGATATGGGACAGAGATATGGTGCTATGATCTGAGTGTGTGTCTCCCCAAAATTTACAGCAAATTTTAATCATCAAGGTGATGGTATTAAAAGGTAGGGCCTTTGGGAAGTGATTAGTTCATGTGGGCTCTAATCTCATGAATGGGATTAGTGTCCTTGGAAAAGAGACCTCAGAGAGCATCTACGAAGCAGACAGCAAACCCCTACCAGAGGCCAAATCTGCCGGTGCCTTGATCTTGGAATTCCCAGACTGTGAAAAAGAAATGTCTTTTTATGGTGTTTTTGTTATAGTAGCCTAAATGGACTAAGACAGATGGCTACTTGTGTGGATGTGTCGGGTCTACAGACAGAAGGGATTTTCTAATGGTGGCTTATTTTGTAATCTAGGGACAGAACTGTTAAAATTTGCACAAGTGGGAAGGTTAGGTCAGGAAAGGCCCCCAGAGATCAATTAGCCCACCACCAAAGAAGAAAACTGAGGGCTAGAGATGTTAAGAGACTTGCCTGAGATCAAGTGGTGGGCCTTCTGACTCCTGGCCTGTGTTCTTTCCACAGTACCTGCTTCTTGTCCAGCTGGGTACTTTGCTACCTCTTTTGTTTCTCTGCTCACTTCTTTTTCCCCCTTGCTATGTTTTTAAACATTTTTTTTTCTGAGGTAGTGGTATAGAGTGAGAGGGTGGGAGCAGACTATTTGCAATGTGGACCCTGGACAAAAGCAATTCTAAAACTGACTCCAGGAAGCTCATTATGGGATGAGGTGTTACAGGCTCCGGTTATTCACTTCTCCCTGTATCCATTCACTTTGTTATGAAACTGCAGTGCCCTCCCAAGTGGATGGGCTGTGCTTCCCCCTTCTGAATTTGGGTTTGGCCATGTGACTTATCTGGCTGATAAAATGAAACAGATGTTACAATGACAGTGAACAATCAGGAAAGATGATAAAGAAACAATAGCATCAAGAAGAAGAACATACTTAGGATAAACTTAACCAGGGAGGGTGCCATGGTTTGAGTATTTGTCCCCTCCAAAGCACATGTTGGAAATTAATTGCCATTGTAACAGTATTGAGAGGTGGGACCTTTAAGAGGTGCTTAGTACTCATGAACTGATGCCATTACAAATGGAGAGTTTGGCTCCTTTCTGTGTCTTTGTGCTTCTGTCTTCTGCCATGTGAAGACAAAGCATTCCTCCCCTTTGGAGAATACAGCATTCAAGGTGCCATCTTGGAATCAAAATTACCAAATCTGCTGGTTTGTTGCTATTGGACTTTCCATCCTCCAGAATTGTGAGCCAATATATTTCTGTTTATTATAAATTACCAAGTCTTAGGTATTCTTTTATATCAGCACAAAATGGACTAAGAGATGAAAACTTATACACTAAAAACTAAAAAACACTGCTAAAAGAAATTAAAGAAGTCCTTTGCTGGTGTCCCCATGCTTCTCAACCAGGCCACATCCTGGTACTGGTGCATGTCTGTGGTCTACGTGGTTGGCACCTGGACCCAGCTGGGCTCAAAGTTCTTATTTGGCAGGAAAAAGGACAAGCTGCTAGCTGATGAAGTAGGGCAAAAGGATGTCTCAATGAATGAAACACTCAGTGAAATATCTGAGCTCCCAAAAGGGTTTTGTGTGGAAACCATTGTTGCATATTGAGAAGATTTTGCTCCGGTTACTGAAAAGATCCTTAACTATTTGAAATCATGGACTAGTGGCCCTGGTGTGGAATCATGATTGACTACTAAATTCTGAAAACCAGGACTTTGGTTCAGCATTTAAATTTGATATATGCCTTGATTTCCATTTTATGTTTGTGAAATGTATTTAATTTTGCTGTAAAATAATATCACTGATAATATGCAATAAATATTTTCTTGAAGGAAACAACAACAAAAAAGAAACTAAAGAAGACATAAATAATTGGAAGAACACCTCATATTCATGGATTGGAAAGCCTAATACTGTTAAGATGTTAATACTACTAAAGCAATCTACAGATTAATTGCAATCCCCATCAAAATCCCAGTGATATATTTTGTAAATAGAAAATCTTACCCTAAAGTTCATACAAAATCTTAGCAAACCCAGAATAATCAAAACAATCTTGAAAGAGAACAACAAAGAGGATTCATAGTTCCTGACTTCAAAACTTACTACCATGTTATAGTGATCAAAACAGTATGGCATTGGCAATAAAGATAGACACATAGACCAATGGAGTTAAATAGAGCCCAGAAATAAACCTTCAAATATATAGTCAAATGATTTTCAATAAGGATGCCAAAACCATTCAATGGGTCAAGGACAGTCTTTTCTTTTCTTTTTTTAATTTTTAAATCAATATTTTTTATTATGGTTTTGTGGGGTACAGTTAAGGGTTAGGTGTACAATTACATTTCATTCAGGCACCCTGTTGATAAGAGGTGTTACCCCTTCCCCAGACAGATATTTTCTACTGTTAATCCCATCCCCCCCCATAGTTTCCCAGTACCGTCAGTC